CCTGGATGCCACCCTTTGCAACACATGGGTCTTTTGTTTCGAAATTTATTGATAGATGGTATTGGTGTTTTCTACCTGGATGCCACCCTTTGCAACACATGGGTCTTTTGTTTCGAAATTTATTGATTGATGGTCTCGGTATTCTCTACATGGATGTCACCCGATGCAACACATGGGCTGAACGAGGAGATCAAAAATCTCCAAGATTCGGGTGTAGCCATCATCCCTAATCTAGAGGGGCAACCAATCGCTAGTACCTGGCGTCTATACTCCATCTTTTAACCAAATAGTGGAACTAACTTTTGCAGCTATAATCCCCCCCCCCAGTCCTCATCTTAAATTTCGGAGGGAGTTCAGCGACGTATCTTGGCCCAAATGTTGGACCTTCTGATCTGACGAATTTGGACACGCCCGGCCTTCATGCATTTATGCAAAACATTTTAGAAAATGGTTCTTTTGTATTAAAATCGTGTTAAGCAACTAGCATATTATTTTATGGGAAGCAGTTTATCAAGGACCAGTGCGTAAAAAAACATGAATACATTTTCGTTCTGGGTTAACCAAAGTTGGAAACTCCCACGGATCCGCCCCTAGCGGCAAGTGGTGAGACTATTGAAATTTAAGGCAAATGGAGCGTGATTTATTAGAAACGAAATACAGTTGTTTTTTTTTAGGGCAATTATAATTTTAAGTTTATTCTTGTTGGTACTATTATTTTAATTGAACTATAATCAGTTATGACCCGACTCTTCTAAAGAATTTGTTTTAAGCAATCATCATGGCGCGTTACCCCCAGGGGTTGTCTAACAGTATAGAATTATCTTCTCGGTGAACAAAACCCGTCAACTTCTTATTTACGTGATGAACTACTTTTGCCGACAGCGTTGATCGTTTTTTAAGAGTGGTTATTTAATAGTGTCTGATCTATTTAAATAACTAAAATGTGTTTACTTAGATTGTACTTCCCAGCCAATTACAATATAATTTAGGTTTAAAGTTTGACTTCAAGAAGCGTGATTCAACGTGTTCTGTGCGTTACAAAAATAATAGTTTAGTTTCCCCTAGGATAAATAGTTTAGCCAACAGCGTTGATCATTTTTTAAGAGTGGTTATGTAACAGTGTCTGATCTATTTAAATAACTAAAATGTGTTTACTTAGATTGTACTTCCCAGCCAGTTACAATATAATTTAGGTTTAAAGTTTGACTTCAAGAAGCGTGATTCAACGTGTTCTGTGCGTTACAAAAATAATAGTTTAGTTTCCCCCTAGGATAAATAGTTTTTAAGATATGATCGTTTTAAATATGGTAATTTTTAATAACCACTCTGTACGTTAAGAAAATGACCAACATGATTTATAAGCACAATGAAACGTGTAATATGTTCTCTTCATAGAAAAATAATTATGCATATAAATCCTTGTTGGTCAGTTTACTGTTGTCTACCATAATGTGCTCCGTACATAAATACCCTGTACGTACAACATTGTCGGTCTCGTTCCACATAAGTCTAAGTAGCATTGTTTTCTTATGTTAAAGAAACGCATGTTGAGAAATATCTGACCGAAATATTACAATAAGCTTTACTGGGAGCTGTTTTTACCTGATTTAAAAGTATTTCATGTCACTACTTCCGATTCGCTTGCACAGAGAAAGTTTCTGCACAGATATTAACTGTGTTACTTCTCCTTCTCTTTATAGCGTTTATAAAGCTCTGTCCTCCGGTGGGACAGCGGTAAATTACGGACATACAACGCTAAAATCCGGGGTTCGATTCCCCAGGTGGACACAGCAGATAGCCCAATGTGACTTTGCTCTAAAAACCAAACAAATACAGAGATTTTCCGCTGTTTGTGTTCGTTATTCAACTAGATCTTTTTTTGGGGGGGGGGCAAGGGTCAAACGTGGCCAAGTGGTTATCGTACTAGGATTGTGAATCATAGGTTCATGGTTCTCGGTCCCGTTGTCG